TGTGTGTGTGTGTGTGTGTGTGTGTGTGTGTGTGTGTGTGTGTGTGTGTGTATGTGTGTGTGCGTACATGTGCGTGCATTTGCATTCACAGATAAGTAACCAGAGAAAAAGCTCGTCTAAAATAAAGCCTATAAAACCGTTACGAATAAAGGTACGGACGCCAAAAGCTTGCAGAAAAATCCATCGAACTCCTTATGTATTAATAACAATAAAATATTAAAGCCACAAACAAAATTATATAATAAATTCCCGATACCTCCAATTTCGAGTCAAGCTGATTCTGATACGCTGAACGAAATTAACAATCAAACGTTGACACTGCTCGGGGAAATCTCTTTCGTACCCTCCATAATGGGTTTCTGTCGAGCCTTGGGTGTTTTCGAAGGTTTTTCCCCCACACATTTTGTTCTTCAAGCACAACCAATATTGAAAGTCCAGTGGACTCAAGACTGGATTGTTTGGGGTCCAGTTGTGCTCAGTCGGACTGACTGTCCTGTAACCAAAACGGTTTCTTATCGCAGAACACCGCTGGCGTGAAGAGGATCAGCCCTATCTTGCTAGAAGTGCTGTTTCTTTCTCCCAACATTGTCAAAATTAGTCCCAAGTTTTTCTAGAACTTGGATAGGGTGACGAGCTATCGGTCAGGGTTCACTAAATCAAGGGCCCTCCTAAACTTATCAAGAGTGCGCTGTTTTACAGACTACCCACCGTGTGTAACTCGGGAATTTAGGATGCGAGTTCTTGTCGTCTATGAACCCAAACCTTTCAAATCAAAGTATGTTGCCCATTTCAAAATAGACATTTTTTTCTTGGAGTATTATAGTTATCTATCCCGAGTGGCCGAGCTAATAATGTACATGTCAGTTCGGGAGCCTTAGTATGCAAAAACATCTTGACTGCAAAAGCATGCTCTACAGGAGTGAACTGCTTTATCTTCTTTCCGTTGTGCATCAGCAATGGACTTTTTTTTAAATTAAAAAAAAACATAATCTAGATGTATGTTCTAGTTTTCGATCAATTTTGATGTCAATTTTGTCATAGACAAGAAAGTCATTGGCATTCATTTGAAAGAATGTTTTTTTTCTGGTCAGCTGGTACATTACATACTCGTGGATAGCTAGCATCGGGCTGACAGAATATGATCCTGAGGGAACCAAAATTATTTGCAGCTTTTCTAATTTGAATCCTGGACTTCTGCTTGTTGCCAAGTTAGTAAACAGTCATGTACCTCGACAGGTGGTCGGAACTAATGGTTGGATTATGCTACTTACAGCCCTACTACTTTATTCTTTACTAGTCCTCTATTGTTCCGGTGTCTAAGAAATTAATAACCATTATTATTGTGTCGATGTTTATGATAGACAAATAGATGATTTTGATTTGCAAATAAGATATTATTGCCTCTGGTGGGATCTGAATTGTGTTGATATGGGGCGCTAAAACGGCTACACTGAAAAAAAAGAAGAAATAAGCCATCTTGTAACGTATTTTTATTTCCATTCCAGAACTGTTATCTATGGGCGCATGCGTCAACCAACAGGACGCCCAGGGTGTGACGCCTCTGGGTGCATGTTGTTGGGAAGATTTCCATGAGACTGCGGAAGAGCTGATCCAGCATGATGCCAATATAAACACCCCAGACCTGCATGGAGAAACTCCGCTTTATCATGCATGTTTTCATACCAGTATCAACTGTGTGCGGGTGCTCATTGAAAAAGGCTGTGACGTGAACATCGCCAACAATTGTGGAGAGACTCCATTGATGGCAGCTCTTCCGCCTATATTCTACAGCGATAGAATAGGTATAGAAGCGAACATTTCCTGCATATTAGAAATCTGCCAGAAGGTGATTAACGCTGGCTGTAACTTGGACGCTCAAGACTCCAGAGGACGCACAGCTTTGCACTGCGCTGTGGTGAGAGGACATGTCTCTGGGCTTTGTTTGCTAGCAGAACATGGATGCAATTTGGAAATCTGTGACGAAGACCGCCAAACACCCTTTCAGAAGGCTCTCCTTGACAAAAGGCCACTTTTCGAGGTTGCTAGATTCCTTGTCTACTACGGTGCAAACTGTCGACAGGAGATTAATGTTTGTCGTCATGATAGGATTGAAATGAAGTCTCCCCTGGCTTTGACGATAGAGGCTGCACCGCTCGGAGGTCCGCGAGGAAAACTCCGTGAGCGATATTTGCTGCTGAGAGTTTTGATGGAAGCGACCTACCCATACCTTGGGGGTCTTTCAACAAATCTGGTTTTGCCACAAGTGAGCAATATCCCCCACCTTGTTGATCCATACAGGGCTGTCGAGAGGGAAACTGAGAACTGGATGCGCTCAGAAGTACCTGCTTCCCTCAAGTTTCAGGCACGATTGAAACTTCGAGAAATGTTAGGAGTACGAAACACCCTAAGTAAGATTGACTCACTGCCTATTGGGAAATATTTAAAGAGCTACCTTATGCTTGATCTTGAGAAAGAGCTGCCGCTATCAAGAAGCTGCATGTTGCACGAATACATTAAAGACAGAGAGAACAAGAAGCTGGGAGACCTCGTGCGAAATGGTGCTCATGTCAACTTCATGGTGGACGGGAAAACACCTCTCGCTGCAGCCGTCATTCTGAAGAATCTGGAAGCCTTTAGGATACTGGTTTCGTCTGGCGTTGCTTCCATAGGTCATGACCCGATTAATGAAAATGGCGATGAGCCCCTCCACCTCGCTGCTATCTATGGATTCATCGACGTTATCGACGATATCATAAGCGCAGGCGGTTCTGTTAACGCTCCCAATAAGAGAAAACGCACGCCTCTGCACTATGCTGTGACAACCGGCCATTTTGAAGTTGCCTCGCTTCTGATCAGACGTGGCGCCGAGGTTAAAGGTCAGGAGACGTTGAGATTTCCATTACTCCACAGGGCGGCTGCGAGCCACAACATTGAGGTAGTGAAGATGATGCTGGAGGGAGGGGTTGCAGCTAATCTCAGGGATTATGAAGGGAACACGCCCCTGCACATAGTGGCCAGCCAAGTAAGGATACTTTGTCATTAACTTTATTGCAGAACACCTGCATAGGCACATGGTACACGCAAGAGACTATACACATACATCATCAGACACGCACACACACACTCTTTCTCTCTCTCTCTCTCTCTCTCTCTCTCTCTCTCTCTCTCTCTCTCTCTCTCTCTCTCTCTCTCTCTCTCTCTCTCATGAAAACAACCAACTTGAGTCCCGCATACTCTAATATGAACTAAAGCAGTTGCGAGCGTCAAAAAATCTTACCAATATAAACTAAGCTACACGCATACGCACACGCACACACACACACACACACACACACACACACACACACACACACACACACACACACACACACACACACACACACACACACACACATACACACACACACTCACACACACACACACACACAAACACACACACACACACTTTCTCTCTCACTTTCTCTCTCTCTCTCTCTCTCTCTCTCTCTCTCTCTCTCTCTCTCTCTCTCTCCTTCTCTCCAACTCCCTGTCTCTTTTTCTCCCTTCTCCCCCCACCCACTCACTTCTGTAAGTGTAACAATACCATATTGTATAAACTTCAACCCTCTTGTCCCACTTCTTTTCCAGGCAAATATCTACCTCGAACAGCGGATGGTGCTTCCAGCTCTATACAATTCAAAGTTGGAAAGACATCTAGACATGGTCATTATGGCAGTGAGCAACCACGCAGCCAGACCCACAATTCCAGGTAAGGAGAAGTACCGGGATGTAGCAAGGTTACTTTTGGAGCACGGAGCAGACGTCAAGGCCTACAACTCGGATTCTTTCACACCGTTGGATGAGGCGGAAATAGGAGGCGATCCAGTCCTGATTGATATAATTAAAAATAGGGCTTAATGATGATGACGACTCCAATACGTTGTCGTTTAATTAGCTTTTATGTCTATCTATTACATTTTTATCTAGTTTTATATTCTCAGAGTTTTATTTTTGTTTTACAATTTTTTAAAGAGTGTCGTACCTTCAGTTTTTATTTACTTCTACTTCAGTTTTTAATTTAGTTAGCTCGTACGCCATTCTTAAGAGCGTATCGTCCTTCATCGCTTGTCTTTATATTTTTCACCATCCTTGATCTGGGATAGTTCAAAAATATTATATTTAGTACTAGAGCTCGGAGCTCGTGGCAGTGACGTCACCCACGTAAACGAAGGTGGGCTGCCTGTGCCCACTCTTGGACGCTGGGCGTTAAGGACAACAGAGGGATGAGTACTTTTCGAGACTATCGTGGAGACGTCTCGACGGTCATAGTGAGAAATCTACTAGCTTGCACTGAAATGTGGGGGCAGGACGGTGTTTGATGTACTAGAGCTCGCTGTGGGAACAGAGCTGGGGCTCAGATTGTTCATGTAAATGGGAGCACGCCAGCCATGCCCATCAGGGCAAGAAGACTTTCTATGTCAACATGTGTGGCGTCACTGCCGCGAGCTGTAGTATTATATATATAAAGCCTCTTTGGGATAGGCTTTTTTGTTGTAGCTGTGTCGGGGTTGGGTTGTTTTTCTTTTTTTTCTCTTTTTTTTTTT